TAAAATATCCTACAAGTTTTCAAAATTCATATGTATAACAATTCACAATTGCAAAATATTTAGTTGCAACCCCAAACATCAACATATATATGAAATATCCACATATACGCACCCACGTGTTTAATATAGAAAATCCTCCCAAAAGAAGTAGTAAATTCCTCACCTTGATTCCCGAACTCCAACTCAAAACGCTTTCTTCCAAATTCAATACAATCACCATCTAAATCAAAATAGCATGCAACAATCAATCCTTATTCCTAACTTCATCATTTCACGATTTTATATTTAATTTACGTACTTCCTACCAATTGATGTATATGCATTGATAATAGCTTAAAGCAAGGTTATACTATCAAAAATTAGTATCTAGAACCTTAAATACTATTTTGGAAAATTTACGGAAGCCTCATAAACAGAAAATTCATTGTTAGGAAATTACACTTTGATCCCAAAAATTTTAAAAATTATGATTTGACTCCAAAACTTTAAAAAAAAATTATAAACTGTCCAGGTTACTTTCATACCCTCTTAGCTCACATTAAAAATGTTATTTCTATGTAAAGGATATATTAAGTATATCAATGTTATTTCCATTACTTTCTTTTTCTTTTTCAACCTATTGCTCAAACTCAATCTAATCTCAAACAACTATACACCTAAATTCAATTTAACATCTTCAAAAATTATATATATATACACACACGCTATATATTTTACACTATGAAATCTAACACCATGATATATAATAAAATACAAATCTCATAAAATAAGTAATGCATCCACATACCTCAATGGATCTAACTCCCCTTTTTTCTTTTTCCTTTCTTTCTTCTCTCTCTAGCAACAGATCCCCCTCTTTTCTTTTTCTTTTCTTTTTTGTCTCAAGGTATAAAATATTGAATATATATATCTACATATCAGTGGACATCTAGGGCAACAAGGAAACTTGTCTTAATCACATTTTCATCTTCTTTAGTTATTATTATTATTATTTTGTTCACTGGATAGGTGCCTTCACAAGCCTTATCACCAAAAGAGCTTATCAAACCTATATATATATATATATATATATACATTCAAAGGGTTTAACCTATCCAATAAAACTACCATATTTAAAACACATGTAGAATAGTCCTAATTGGTTTCTCTAGGGCAAACCTTTCAACAAAGACACATTAATCTTCTTTAATTAGCTTTTACCCTTATACATATATAATTCCTCCTAGGTAGCCCATGCACCAAAATGAAATAATGTATATATATATATATTTTGTATGGGTTATTACATTGCTGCTCTCCCATTATTTAGTGGTTCGTTGGTTCTAATTTTTCTTTGCTAGATCCTTCCTCTATGATTTCTCTTCGTTGGTTCTTTCTTCCCTTAAGTTATCTTCGTTGGTTCTCTCTTCCCTTAAGTTATCTTTGTTGGTTCCCTCTTCCCTTAAGTTATCTTCGTTGGTTCTGATGTTGAAGGCGATACATTGTCTCTTCATCTAATTGCTAGTTGAATGTTAGATGGGCTTGGTGGTTTATTGGGCTGATTGGACTGCGGGCTTTGTGAATTTGGTTTTGAATTTTTGTTTGGTTTGGTGGAAGTATTGGAGTTTGTTGGATGGTTGGTTTGATTTGTTTTGTTGGCTCTCTAATTCCTGAATGCTTACATTATAGTTTAAGTTGTTTGTCACGGACTTGTTTTTTTCAAGATCCCGTACGACACTTAAATACCAACAACCTCTTAAGTAAGCCTTTCAACCTAGCTGGTAACAAGTTGCTTGAGAAGACACAAAGAGACAACAAGATAGTTTGAGAGAATGTAAGTGTTGTACTGCACAAACGGAGATTACACTTCTTGGCTTGGTGAGTGGAAATGAGGCTCACCCCTTGGCCTTGCAATGAATGGCTAAGATTAATTCAAGTGTCTTATATTTAGGTTATCTGTAGAATGTTCTATATAAATATCTAATATATTTACAAGTACAAGAATATCTAAGAGTTCTCTAGAATACTCTAGGTTTTTCTAGGCTTCTTCTTTCTTCTCTAGTGTTCTCTAGAATGTTCCTTTAAGAAGACCTAGAGTTCTCCAAAACGTTTACTCTATAGTTCTCCGGATCTTTCTAGAAGCAGGTCGTGACCTTCTAGGGTACAACATATTGATAAATTAGTCTACAAGCACTATTTCTATCCTAAAACTAAACTCTATTCCTAAAAATGCTCAAGTCATGGGTCTTTTGTAGGTTTAAACGTATCCTCCACTATGTCATTAATGCCTCTTTCATAGGCACTCTCCATCGACGGTTACATAGGTGTCCTTAGGTAGTTCTTCTCTTAGTTTTATCCCTTTGCCTGTCTTCTAGGCTTTCAGGGCATTAAATTGCTGTCTTTTGAATTTCAAATAACCTTATTCTTTCCTCCATTATGGGTGTAACTATCCTGGAATTTGAAATGGTCATGTCGACCAGCCATATTCTTTCTTCTGGATATGTGTCATTCATTGTTTGTTTACCATATTTGTAGAATATGGTCCAAACATATCCATAACAAAGAAAAAAAAAATGTAAAAGACATAAATTAAGAAATTAAGTCCATATATGGAAGAGGAAACTCCTCTTTAGCGCTCGAATTCAAAGGCAAACTCTACAAGTTTATTGGGTTGACCATGTCAACTCAAATGAATGGGGTTGTAAGTAACCATAGTGATTTAAAATCCATAGTGATGTTTGTTGGACATTGACATACTCTTACAATGATCACTATGGCATCACTATGGCATCAAAGGGAATGTGATTTAAAATCCAGTGTCAATGTCACGTCAAAGTAGAAAGATATTTTTGTCTTTAATATTCAATTAAAAGAATTTGTCCTTTTTAAGACCAAATGAAATAAAGTTTAAATTACATTACCCAATTTTTTTAAAAATAGAACGATCATCGAAAACCTCATTATTATATATATGTTAAGAGTAACTCTATTTGAACTTAAAAATATGACATAATTTGTTGACATAATGATATAACTTTAGTGGAACTATTGGATTAACACCAAATTCTAATGTTTGATGAAACTTACAGTCAATCCAAAGGTCATAGTGAATTAGGTCAGCAAATTAAGTCAGTAAATTAAGTCTCAATAGCATTGCTCTATATGTTAAGGCTTGGGGAAGGCCACACCAAGACAAAATTAGTTGTGCAACAACCAACTTTAGAATTTCACTATCAGTTACCCATCTTGGTCATCAAACAGCAGCAACAAAGTTCGGTAAGGGAGAACTATATTTTGTAGAATCTATTACTAAAATAAGGTAAAATTTAATCTTGAATACCAATCTACAGTCATTTTAAACATATTTACCAAACTATGACTGTTTTAAAAGCGGAAGTATGAAATCCGATTTCATTTAAAAGTGGAATTAGTAAAAACGACTTCGTAGTGTAAAGCGGACTTACCAAGTCCGACTTCAATGTAAAGCATACTTGCCATATTCAGTATCCTCTAGCAAAATACAAGCAAGGTTTCCACCCAAACCCACCAGCTGGGTCATCTATAGAGATGTCACTCACCGAGCAACTCCGCCGGTGGGGGAGACCGTTGGTGCAGCTAATCCAGTTAGCATAAGGGAAGTTCATACCATCGCCGCCGCTTGCGTTGGGGCTAGGTGCTAAATCCGGTGGTGGGTAGTACAAATCAGAGTTTTTTGGCCCATCGTTGAGGAAAGAGAATTGATCTTGGAGCTGAAATTCATCAACTAGGTCAGCCTCTCCACGGCCATAAAAAGGAGGAGCAGATGAGTTCATGGTTGAAGACGATGACCCAGTTGTTAAATTATTGATTCCATTACTTGAAGCACTGCCATATGAAATTGAGTTCTGGATCAATATTCGGCTGTGAGATTCGCCTGAGGTGTGACATTCGGCTATGAGATTCCATTCTAAGTTCTGGATTTCAACTGAGTTGTATAACAATTACGATTTCAACAAATTTTTTTGGCATTTTCCACTGATGTAACAATTACGATTTCAACTGAGTTTCTAGATCAATTATGATTTCCAGTCTCCCTCTCTCTCCTCTCTCTCTCTCTACCTGCCAAAAGAGAACAGAGCCCAGTCGTTAGGAATTCCCTCAGCTCCTTCACACACTTAGACTTCTTCTTGGTGTATAAATTATAACGGATCATTCTTTTCTCATTACCGGGAAAATAAATTTAATGATACTTTCTCATGAAAAGTGAGTTGTGGGTTTGTCTTGTTCTGGGTTTCTAATCTATGAAATTGAGAAAGTCCTGTTTCTAGGTTAGTTTATGAGAACTTGAGAAGGCTCAAGAAAATTGAGTTCTTGATCTGTCTGTTTTTGGGTTTCTGATATCTGAAATTGAGAAAACGGATTTATCATATCCGTCTTTTAATAAAAGCGGCTTCAACACATCCGTTTTCCTTGAATATAGTTACAGTTTTTCCTTGTTAAAAGCAGGTCTGTTAAATATGCTTTCATTAGAAAGCGGATTTGTTTAGTCCGCTTTATCAGTTGAAATCGTAATTATTACATTTATTTTTTCGGATAAAATTGTACTTAGTAATTCCACTTTTAAATGAAATCGAATTTTTGTCAAGTTCGTTTGTAAAACAGCCGTACTTTAGTAAATAAGTTCAGAACAGCCGTAGAATGGTATTTAAGTTTTATATTTGTCATACTTTGGTAACATATCCATATTTTGTAGCTTAAAAAAAAAATAAATAAGAATTCTTACCTTGACCCTTGAAAAAATATTTTTTATATTATATTAAAAATATTATAATATGGCTCTATTGTTAATTTTGATTACTTGAGATTGCAATTATAATTACAATATAAAAACAATTTATTAATTTTTAAAATTCACAAAGTGCGATTTTCAGCCGGCCGGCTGTTAAATGCCGAAGTAGAAAGAGACAGAAGCTACTTGCTTATTTGTCAATGTCCAGCGAACATCACTATGGTTACACTTACTTCTGTTTCCTGGAGTCTATATGCTAGACAAAGACTCCCAAGGCATCCCAGGGTTTGGGTTGGAAATGGGGATGTTTGCTGTGTCAACTTCAGCTTTGCTATGCATATTCTCTGTGATTTGTTCTTGTGAGACTGTCAATGGGTATGCCAAATACAATACTGGAAGTGTCATTGTTGAAGGAAAATTGAACGTTCATTTGGTTCCCCATTCGCACGACGACGTGGGTTGGTTGAAGACCATTGATCAGTACTATGTTGGATCAAATAACAGCATTCAGGTCATGCATGATTGGTTTATTTTTGTGTCAATTGAATGGGAATTTTAGTTAAATGGTTTGTTAGTTATATGTTGTCTGATGATTCTTGGTGCAGGGTGCATGTGTTGAGAATGTACTGGACTCGGTGGTTATGTCATTGCGCCGTGACTCGAATAGGAAGTTTGTGTTTGCTGAGATGGTAAACTGTAAATATTTGCATATTTTGATTATGTACCTTGAGCTTATATTTTAACTTTAATGAACTTCATTGGGTGCTGATGATTTTATTAAAGTTCATGGTTCTGGATTTTGGTTTCTTTCCATCATGCAAAGTCCGGAATTATTCTATATGTCTTCATTTTGCAATTTAGTAGCGGTACATTGTTACATTCAAAGAATTATGGGTTCTAAACCTCCACAAGTTATGAGACTTTAGGAACAGGATTGGTTCATAATAATTGGTATCAAAGCAGACACCACGTCACGAGTTTGAGTCACAGAAGAGACGACCTTTAAGTTGGGTTAAAATGTCTTAGTATTATGTATGGGCATAGTTCTATCACGTTGAATATTGGTGGATGAGTAGAGCCGCCAAAGGGAAAGGGTTACCGTTTGGCCAGTGTCAATAGAGTGAGTCGCCGTGGACGTTGGCTTTAAGCATGGTGGAATGTTACGTTCAAATAATTATGAGCTCTAACCTCCCACAAATCCTTGGACTTTTGGAACAACGGTTGGTTCATGACATACACACATCTATACTAACAACATCTATAGTTACAAGTAATTGATACATAGGGTGCAAAAACTCGGGGTACTGGGAGCCGTGTACTGGGTAAGTACAGACCTGGTGGCTGCTAATGGATTCAAAAGCTGCTTTTTTTCTTCTTTTTAACTATTTGAGGAATAGATTTTTACCCATTCTATTTGATCACATACTATGTGGTTGTCCTAAACTTGCTTTAACATTGTTGAATCTGCCACATTGTTTTTTTAAAGTCTTTTATCTCTAATATGTAGATAATGTCGCAAAAACTGACCAGGAAAAAAGTAAGTGGAAAAAGAAGCTTGATTGTGGGGCGAACCTCAAATTTTTTATTTAATTTTTTTGGTCTTTGTATAAACAACATACCTTAATTCACTTTGGTTGGTTTTATGCATATCCAAGTTGACACAATCATCTTTTTTAGTTTTACGAATACAATAGAATAAGTATCTCCATTCGACTAAGCATAGAGACTTAGATACTGTAATTGTTAATCCTGTAATTTACATGGTATTATTTTATATGTTACAACCCCCACCCCACTCCCCCCAAGTCCCCAACACACACAAAACAGAACTTTTTTGAAATTGTAGGCATTTCAGGATCTCAATATATGATCTCATCTTTCTTTTATATGATGTTTCTGTGCTACATTCTCAATTTGTGTTCACAAACACAATTGATTTTGTATTAGCATGATAGTGTCTCCTAATTATCTAGAGGTTAAATGTCCATAACAAGTATTTTTTAACCTCTTCCAGTAAAGTTTGAATGTGTAGAGAGGCACACAAAACAAAATGTAAGTGACAATCAGTGAAAATATAAGTGGCAGTCAGTGTGACTGTATTCATCCAGGAAACATAATCTTCATCAACAACTAAACAATTATGTGGCATTTTTCTAGTTATGTGTGCAATATATTTTTTTTGTTATGCAGAACTCCTTGTGACTTCCTGATATAGTTTACTATGGAATCTTAGGCATTTTTTCAACGATGGTGGGAAGGGCAAACTCTGGAGATACAAGAAGAAGTGAGAAAGCTTGTTGATGCTGGTCAGTTGGAATTCATGTATGGCATTCAGTTGCGACATGTCAATAGTTTTTTCTTTCTGGGTGTCTGGCATATGTTTTTATCTTAATAATTCTCTTGCTTAGAAATGGTGGCTGGTGCATGCATGATGAAGCAATTTGCCATTACATAGATATGATTGACCAAACAACTCTAGGTCATCGCTTGATAAAGAACCAATTCAACAAAACTCCTCGTGCTGGATGGCAGATTGATCCATTTGGGCACTCTGTAGTGCAAGCTTACCTACTTGGGGCTGAGGTACATGATTTTGGCAGTGTTAAAATTGTACTAATATTTGTAATAGAACTTAAATTTGATTTGTTTTCAAGAGTCAGACCTAACCTCAGTGGCAGAAATTAGAATATCTCTGAAGATATTTGTGTGTTTTTCCTTAACAATGGCACTTGAATTTCCCCTGAATTTGTTGTCATTTCAGCTTGGCTTTGACTCTGTACATTTTGCACGCATCGATTATCAAGATAGAGAAAAGCGCAAGGGAGATAAATCTCTTGAAGTTGTATGGCGTGGGTCCAAAACTTTTGGTTCCTCGTCTCAGGTTTGCAACAGCAACTATTGCTCTGTTCTGATATACTTTATTTCTTTTTAAATTGCTTGCTTCGTCCACAAATCAATGACCCGTGTCTGGGTTCTCTGCAGATATTTGCCAACACATTTCCTGTTCATTATAGTCCGCCAAATGGTTTCAGTTTTGAAGTGGATGTTGACTTCGTTCCCCTCCAGGTTCTATAGATAATTGTTAAAGCAGTAATAGTAATAGTATTAGGCTTCTGAGAAGAGAACAAGAAAGAGAAAAAAGGAGAGGAAGAGAGAAAGTAAGAATAATTTGTGTGTAGGCTGTGTTGCCCTACACCCACTTCTTTGTATTAGACAGAGATGGAGGGTAATTACAAATTTACAATATTACCTTATGCTAGCTTATTATGTCTAATAATCAGAAAATAAGAACTCTAACAATATAATTAAGGAAAAATATGTTTCTCTTGATTTTGTCCTGATGTCCTTGTGCATTATAGGTTCTCATATTGTTCCTGCTAAATTTGCAGGATAATCGTCTTCTTTATGACTTCAACGTTCAGAAGCGAGTTAATGATTTTATTGATGCTGCATTAACTCAAGTAAACTCTAATGCCATTATAGCTGTTCAATAAAATATGAATGACTCTGACATTATCATTACGCTCTCAATAGGAGGATGTTCTAAGTCCTTTAGAAGGTGAAATTGTGCGTATACATTTGATTATGGCTTGTATCTTTGATGCGCAGGCAAATGTAACTCGGACAAATCATATTATGTGGACAATGGGCGATGACTTCCAATACCAATATGCTGAATCTTGGTTTAAGCAAATGGATAAATTAATCCACTATGTCAACAAGGTTAATTTGATCTTAAGAAGTTAGTTTATTCGCAGACCTATCAACCTTGCTTCTTCTGCACCTGGCTATCCAATGCATATATATATGCATGGTGGCATTGTAAGCATTTAGATGATTATTATGTTTTGGCTATGAAGGCATCCAATGATCAATGTGTGTAATGAAGCAATTCTGCTTGTCCTTATTTCTTTTTGCAAGGCAATGTGAAATGAAATTTTGATACCTAATATGGAGTTCGGTAGTGGAAAGAAATGGTACTGCACATGGCACATTTGCGGATGACCAAGTAAAGAGGTCTTAGCACTGTTATGCTTTTAATTATAGTTCACATCTAAGAAGCTTTCAAGAGTGAGCACAAACTGGTGCATTTCATAAATATATGTTCTAAAATTCTTATTTTGCGTAATTCAAAACTAGTGTGACATTCAAATTTAGTTACACAGCATTCTAGCATTTAATTGAACTGTATAACCTACTCTGTACTACCTAGAACCAAAAGGAAAATGTGTAGCAGTTGTCTCTTGTTTCTCATATAATAGCAGTTTCAGTGATGTATTTGCCACTTTTTTCTTTCTCATATTCTATGTCTTTGCATTAATATTTTATTTTTAAGTTATGCAAGACATTTTAGATGTAGGAGCTTAAGGATTGCCACGTTGCCTCATTGTGCGTTGATGAGGATATGCAAATGGAATAGAACCATTTAAAATTTGAAGAACATGGTGAATAAAATTACTTATGCCTCCAATATCCATAAAATTTTGTCATTCTCTCCCGCCCCTGCTGCTGAAGTAAATGAAAATGTTTCTTACTTTCTTCGATAGCATTTCCACATCATCACTTCTTGAGTTTTGAGATCTTACCTATTTCCTAGTCATCCATCCACATTTTGCAATCCTCTGTGAAGTTGAAATTCGTGCAACGTGGACATTCTTGTATTTTACGTGTTCTACTGCAAATATGTCCTAGTGCTGGTAGGACATGCTAAACCTCCAGCCAATAGGAGGAAAAATGTTGGTCACTCTGGTTTATGTGGATAATTAAGCCATGCCACATGATGCTTCGTCTTGCCTTACTTGCATGGACTTAAATTGGGAGGTTTTATCAGTTCAATGTAATTGTTGGTTTGTAAATTGAAGCAAGGATTTTAGTTTTGGTTATGTAAATTCGTGAGTATGAATTTTAGTTGAGTTGATTCGCAGGATGGTCAAGTAAATGCATTGTATTCTACCCCATCCATCTACACAGATGCAAAACATGCAGCAAATGAATCCTGGCCACTGAAAACTGATGACTATTTCCCGTGAGCATTTCTTCATTCATTCTGTCAGGCACCGGTCTAGTCTAAATAACCTTATCAACTTAATTCATGATACAAATGCTTGTATATTGATTCTTTACAGATATGCAACAAGAGCAAATAGTTATTTCACTGGTTTCTTTACTAGTCGCCCAGCCTTGAAGCGATACGTCCGTATATTGAGTGGATATTATCTGGTACGCTCATAAAACATTCTCTGGCTTGGTGGCATATTGTGTCATAATGAGGACATAATTGGTTGTACACTTGGTTTCTCAACATTCTCTAAGCTTTGTTTGGGATTAAACTTGTTAAAATTTCCTATGTCCAAAATAGGCAGCACGCCAACTTGAATTCCTGGCTGGAAGAAGATCTGCTGGTCCCCACACTTTTAGTTTAGGAGATGCTTTAGGAGTTGCACAGCACCATGATGCTGTCACTGGTACTGCTAGACAGCATACGACAAATGACTATTCAAAGCGCTTGGCAAGTGGTGCTTCCGAGGTGTGCTATTAATAATTTTTCAAACTTTAACCCTTTGCTCTCTTATGCTTCTTGTATACAGGACCTTTTTAGTTTCATTTATATTTTCCAAATGGAATAACTGTCATAGGCAGAAGCTGTTGTGAATTCAGCTTTGTCATGCCTAATTGATTCAAGAAAAGGCAGCCAATGTCCCACACCTAGATTGAAATTTAGACAGGTGATGTTCCAATACTGAGATTTTGTTCCTTTTTTGATTTTTTTTATCAATTTTTAGTGTTTTACCGCATGACTATTTAGTACCGAGGTTGTTACCATTGAGGGAGCCACATTGTCGCCAAGGGTGGTCATGCCCCCCCCACCCCCCAACTTTTCAAAAATACCCTATACCCATCTTAGTTTTTCAAAAACAAATGTCTTCCTTTAGGTTTTCAAAAATTTCTATATGCTAAGTGTATTAGAGTATTATGTAAATACTAGTTAGTTGTAATAAGTATACCCCTAGAGGGTGTATACGTCTTTTGTGTGATTACGAGTTAACTATAAATATAAGTGGTTTGTGAGAGGTAGGTGAAGTTTTGACCACTCTCTGTCTTTCTCTAATATTGTGTTAATTCTCTCAAATTTAACATGGTATCAGAACATTAAGATCCTAAACACGAAAAAAAATAACACAGTCGGTATCTATCTTCCTCTTTGACCAGTCTTCCTCATTGAACCAGTTGGTGTAGACCTCAATCGTGATAGAGGTGTTGCTGTCGGAGTTGCTGCATGGTGGTGGTGGTGTCACGTCGTTGGAAATCTGCTGTAGAGGTGTTGTCGGAGGTCATCTATGTCGTTGTGGTGGTGCTGCTTGTGTTGGGTGTGAGGCGTCGTTGTGGTTTTGTGTTAGATTTTGGTTGAAACCCTACTCAGTGGAGAAGATGACTCCACGCCGTTGTGATTCTGCTGCATGTGTTGGGTGTGAGGTGCTGTTGTGGCGTTGTGTTAGGGTGTAACACCCTCATCCATTTATGTAATATTTCAGAGCACTAATAACCTTTACAATCACTAAATGATACAGTCTCCAAATAATGAATAAACTCTGATACCAATTTCATATACATTTCAAACATGTACATCCAGACTATTATAACTTACACGTCTCAAAAATAATACTCTTTCAACTCAACCCTTATAACATTACACATTTTCAAATCTTCACAAAAGAAAACAAAGAAAACATCGACAATTCGAACATACGCGGACTTCCTCACCCCCTGCTAATCTGAAAAAGGGGAAATGATGTAGGGTGAGCATCAATAACTCAGTAGAGTAACTCAATTTCCAATCAAACGAGTTTAAAATGACCATTATTTGACATGATTGGGCAATATCAAAACATTCTAGTTCATACATAAGTAATAGAGCAGAAAACTTTGAACAAAAGCATGTAAGTTGAAAATAATAATACGATTATAACATCAATACAGTACTGCACCGGTGGACGATCATCCTAATAGACCATTTATGGTCAATACGTACGAAATACGATCCAATAATTTAGGGGACTTTCACCCCAAGGAAGATATGCTCCCAAGTCAATACGATCCAATTAAGTACTCAAGTTTGAAGACCAACAGGGTCACCCAGATATTTATGAACTCAATGAGATACCCCTCTACGGCCTCAAACTCTCCGCCACTAGATCGTTGCGCACTTACATTAAATTCCAAAAGGATCCCAGAGTTTCATTTAATATAAACAATACAATCATTGCGACCATTGGTGTGAACCACGTTCAAAAACCCTGATCTGGGTTCGAATCCAAGTCAATTTTTAAAGCACCTAACCATATATTTCAAAACATGCTCAAAAATCATAAATAACATATGAAATAATTTAGAAACAAGTTGGAAAAAAATGGTCTGTTCCGAAACTGAGAAACCCCTACTCGTCTCAGTATTTTGATCTGAAATAACCAAAAATTATACAGTGTTATTTTTTGATGAAATTTAATACACATATTCAATTAACCTACCTAAGAAATGAGTATAAAATGTATTTTTTCAAAATCACTCAAAAACTGGGTCAAATTGGGCCCGAAGGTTAAAAACAGTTATTTTACTCCTCATTTTGATCTAGCCGGTGGATCCACTTGAAATTTTATCGGGACCTCCGCACGGATGTTTTAGAACTTTTGGCATCAACCAAAGGTTGATCGGTCGTCGGATGCGCCCAAAATTGTTGTCGGAGTCCACTGGTGTCTCCCACCCCACTTCATTTTCAACATTTGATAAGTTTGACTTTTGCCCTAAGTGTAGAATTTTCTGCTCAACCATCCCACTTTGACCCCAAAGTTCTTCCACTACAGTACACCATTTCCTTTGATTTCAACACCCACATACTCTTTGGACAACCTAGTTTCAATCCCCCTTAGAATTAACCTTCGAATTTAACTCTTAACCTTATTAAATTATTGGTCAAAGTTGGCCAAAAATTATTTTTTAAACATAAGGACAAACTTGCAACTGCCCGTTTCAGCCCCAAAACGACCTCTAAATTCAATTCCAAGGCCGGAAATGAATTCTTTGACCCCAAATTAACTAGACCCAAACCTCCTTGTGAAGCTTAAGCAAGTTTTTATTAGAATCATATTTTCACTTTTTCAAACCCTCGTGCCACCGTTACACCACCACACACCACGACAAACTACCACACCACCACCAAACAATTGATTGAGACCCCCCAAACTCAACAATACCATTCAATTAACCTAAATCATGCTCAAATCTTAAATCCGTTTCAAAATCCAAAAATCCACTAAACTTTAAAACACAAATTCATGAATTAATACTAAACCAAATCAAAATCTAAATACTTAAATGAGTTCTTAACATCCATATTAGGCTATTAGTATACCTCTTAGTGTTCGAAGTTGTCTCTGCAAGAATTCGTAATTTCAAAGTCTACACTTTCTCTAACTTCTCTTTCTTCTCTCTCTCTTCCAATCGGATTTTTCTCCAATTTTATCCCCCAAGCAACTCACTCAGTTTTCACCAAGCAGCTGGGTGCCCTCCATGCAACCTAGCAAACCTCCATCTGTCATCTTGCAAGTGTAGAAGATCCTTGAAGCTTCAATGGCATTTTGATAAATTCCTAATTTTGTTTAATTTCGAAAATTAATTAAAAGTATTATTTTTATTTTAAAATTACATACCTATTAAATCAAGCGCTAGAAAATTATCCGTTAAATTTTTGGACATCGAATTAATCGCCAATTTGATCCGCTAATGCAAATCTTGCATTCTTAACTCACCGATACGCATTAATCCTACTTCATACATTTGTGTTTCTCGGCTCATTTCCTTTTCACCAACTACATTACTACACCTAGCGGACCTCCTAGCCAGCTCTAGAACATCTATGCACCGCTCTAGAGTCATTAGTTTACAGTCTGGCTATTCGTACTCTGAACCTCTAACCGCACATACCCAAATTCCGATTTGATTTCTAATTATCGAAACTCGGGTTATTACAATATAGCCACCTCAAAAGAAATTTTGTCCTCGAAATTTACCTCCAATTCACAATTATATCCTATCAAGACATATTAATTTTACATAACTAGTTCGCGAAGAAAAATACCTGCTTCGTATTTCTTAGTATCTCGATTTACCTTTATCATATCTATGCAGCTCTTTAATCATATTCACTTGGTTTCCACTCAATTGTTACTCTATGCTACTGTTGCACAATTCTAATAAAATACTAACTATATTAGTCTGACCTCAATCCAAATAGCCCATCAACAAATCCTCCCTGAAATTCATTTCCTATAAAATCAAAGTTAATCCACCAACATATTGATAAAATCTTTGATATGATACATTTATGTTCATCACAAATCAATTTCTTCCAATACCCACATGTCGTCATCCTAAGTAACTAAACTTAGGACAGTCTACTGAATCTCAAACCTATACTCTGATACCAAACTTGTAACACCCTCATCCATTTCCATAATATTTCAGAGCGCTAATAACCTTCACAATCACTAAATGATAAAGTCTCCAAATAATGAATAAACTCTGATACCAATTTCATATACATTTCAAACATGTACATCCAGACTATTATAACTTACACATCTCAGATATAATACTCTTTCAACTCAACCCTTATAACATAACACATTTTCCAATCTTCACTAAAGAAAACAGAGAAAACATCAACAGTTCGAACAAACGCGGACTTCCTCGCCCCCTACTAATCTGAAAAAGGGGAAATAATGTTGGGTGAGCGTCAACAACTCAGTAGAGTAACTCAATTTTCAAGCAAACGAGTTTGAAAATATCATAATTTGACATGATTGGGTAATATCAAAACATTCCAGTTCATACATAAGTAATAGAGTAGAAAACTTTGAATGAAAGCATTTAAGTTGAAAACAATAATACGATCATAACATCAATACAGTGCTGTGCTGGTGGATAATCATCATAGTAGACCATTTAGGGTCAATACGATCTATACAACATACAATCCAATAATTTAGGGGATTTTCACCCCAAAGGAAGATATGCTCCCAAGTCAATACGGTCCAATTCAGTACTCAAGTCCGAAGACCAACAAGGCCACCTAGGCATTTACAAACTCAATGAGAAACTCTCTACGGCCTCAACCTGGAACGTAAACCTTCTGCCACTCGACCGTTGCGCACTTACATTTAAGATCCCAGAGTTTCATTTGATATAAACATTACAATCAATATGATCATTACGACCATTGGTGTGCGAACCACGTTCACAAACCTTGATCCAGGTCTAGATCCAAGTCAATATTCAAAACATCTTACCATATATTTCGAAACATGCTCAAGAATTAGAAATACCATATGAAATAATTTAGAAACAAGTTAGAAAAACATCGCCTGTTTCGGAATTGAGAAACCCTACCCATTTCGGTATTTTGATCTGAAACAACCAAAAAATTAAACAGTATTATTCTTCGATGAAATTTAATACACATACTCAATTAACCTACCTAAGAATGAATATAAAATTTATTTTCTCAAAATCACTCAAAAACTGGTCAAATTGGCCCCGAAGGTCAAAACAATCATTTTACTCATTTTGATCTGGCCGTTGGATCGACTTGAAATTTTATTGGGACCTTTGCACAGACGTTACAAAACTTTTGGCACCAACCAAAGGTTGATTGGAGGTTGGACGCGCCCAAATTGCCGTCGGAGTCCACTGGTGTCCCCCACCCAACTTCATCTTCAACTTTTGATTAGTTTGACTTTTGCCCTAAGTGTAGAATTTTCTGTTCAACCACCCCACTTTGACCCCATAGTTCTCCCACTACAGTACACTATTTCCTTTGATTTCAACGCCCACATACTCTTTGGACAACCTAGTTTCAATCCCTCTTAGACTCAAAGTTGGTCAAAAATTACATGTCATATGCCAAATATGTTTTTATGCCACTTTGGATATGCATGCCTTTCCATTCACTGGGTTTTTTAGCTCATTCTTTCAAAAATAAAAATTTTTCCAGTAAAAGATTGGAGTGTCAATAGTGGACTCAGAGAATTGATTGAGGACTAATAGTGTTGTGACCTCCGTAGCATATATCGTATAGCCATCTTTACTTGTTTGGATATTTTGGGCAAACAGGTTTAGGTATGTTGACTTTGATATATTAACATGAGATCAATTTAGTGTTAATGTTGTTTTTCGCTTTTATATTATTAGTTTGTTGTTAGGTTTACTTGCTCCATAGGTTATGGATCTATGGTTCACGGTCGGTCACGCCCTTGTAGTTGGGGTGTGACAATAGTCGTATCAGAGCCTAGGTTGCGACACACATCTGGGCATTTATAGTTGTGTCATCTTTATAGAGGAGATTAAGGTTCCCAGAGTCCTTTTGGTCATATAAGTTGGAAAAAGTATACTTGATGGTCTGGAGTGAAGATGTTACGAGATAATATGTTTATTGCAGTATTAAGGATGAG